TGTGGTGGTGTATAGAGCCAAAGATGTTAGAATTGTGTCGATGTCCCAATATTTCTGGACCTGACTGTAAACCCTTAGTCTCTCATGGAACGCTACGGTTCTGCAGAATGCAGTTTGAAAAACCCTGTCTTAAACCACTGAAAAATCAGAAAGAACATTTATGGCCTTTATTATCTAAGCACTAGCATTCAGCGTATGATCTTAAGATGTTAATGCAGAAGGGAACATAGTTTTTAATAGGTGTAATGGAAACTGGTAGATAACTCTCATGACTGGTAGATAGCTCATAACATTTGAATGATACTATTTGTTTTAACTGGAGCCAGTTTGGTGTAGTGGTTAAGACGCTGGGCTAGAGACTGGGAGACCGTGAGTTCTAGTCCTGCCTTAGGGACCAAGCCAGCTGGGTGACCTTGGGCCAGTCACCCACTTTCAGCCCTAGAAAGGAGGCAATGGCAAACCGCTTCCAAAATCTTACCACGAAAACTGCATGAACTTGTTCAGGCAGTCACCAGGAGTCAATACTAACTTGAAGGCACAAAATCAATCAATCAATCTGAAAGAGCAGAAGCAATTGAAGGAGAAGAGGGAGGGAGTTGTACTATGCGTGCAAAAGGCCTTTGGAAAGCAAATTGCTTGTTTCTGTCCTTAAAATATCAAGAGTGGATTGAGTCAAGAAAGACCACTGTGGGTGGGCACCATTTTTAGTGTTATCACACAAACTTCCTGAACATTTTAATGCAAATTGAAATTATTGTATTGCAGCTTACCCGATACTTGATGATTTGTCTGTGTACCCATGCTTTCTCCACACATTTAAGACTTATTTATAGTATTTTTATATATTTGACGTATATATGATAATTATATAAAGTGATAATTTTAAATAATAATAAAGTTCATTATTACAGCTATCGATATATTTTGTGCATAATTTGTGTATCCTGTCTTAGAGTGTTTTCAATCTTGCTCAACAATTCCACTGGTAATTGTTTTCCCTCACTTTTTGTTGTGGTGTTTGTCAGGAAATGTGGTTTATTGTACAATAGAACATTTCTATTTGGCCCATGTGGTGGATACCCCAAATAAAGGAAGGTTTTATTGACTTGTATGTTTTCTGGGTGGCCGTTGAATACAATGAACAAAATAACATTAGTTAGATAACCATTTATCCTGATGCTTTAGAAAAACTCACCTGCCACTATGTCATCTAGCAGAAGGAAGAGGTCAAGCCTGTGGCAGACTGGGACTATGGATGTTTAATTAAATGTGCAATGTGATTTTACAAGAAAAAATTACTTCAAGTATAAGGCTTATAAGGTTCGCCATAGAAACCTGGAGTATAATTAATGGGAGCAATTAATATGCCTCATCTACAAGTGCAGGTGCATATGAAAACATCTGTACACTCTTTCTTGCTCTCAATCCCCCATGACATTTAATGGATGAAACCAATCTGTATGTAGATTACACATATTAGTACCTCACCTTATCCCTGCAGCATGTTTTCAACCTCTGACCACCAACCCTTTTTTTTTAGTTGAACTTTAATTTTGGTTCATAGTAAAACCTGTGGTTTGCTACACTTCAACTGTTACTAGAAATCTCAGTGAAATAAATCACGTTGCTGGAATCTTCTCGGAACTGAAATTTCAGAAGTGAATTGAGAGATGGAAACCTATTATATAGGGCTTTTCACAAAAGCAAGATGGCAGATTTTTTTTTGTCAAGGTCTTACTAAAATGTTATAATCTGGAAATCATTCTTTCATAAAAGGTTTATAACAAGCTGGTAGTCTTTCAGAAAAGAAAAAGGATTAAAGCCAACCTTGCTTTGATTTGCTTTGAATTTTGTTTATATACTAATCCTCATATCATTTTCCTCTCCCAAAGCTTTTTCTTCCTCTTCTGAATCTTGAGTGCTCTCCAGATGTCCATGCATTTCTGTGCAAAGCCTTTGTGCCTGCTTGCTTTGAACAAACACGTGTAGTTCACCCTTGCCGGAGCCTTTGTGGAAGAGTGTATGCAGACTGTAAAAAGATGCTAGACATGTTTGAAATTGGATGGCCTAAGGAACTTGAATGTAGTAGGTATGCTACTTTTCATATCGTTTCTCTTATTTCTATTTATTGAATTTATACCCTGTGGCAGTCTCATGTTTGAGCATTGTACAAGATATGAAAAAGAAAAAAAAATGAAACATCCACGATAGGATTCAAACACAAACAACAACAACAAAATAAAAAATTACAACCACTGTTTCTACTAGAATGTACTTAGGTCTGTCTGAGACCAATTCCAGCTGAATATCTCTTCATATTGCAGATACACACCTCTCTGATTTTTGCACACAGTTGATACTATGCATCAAATAGTTGCTCCATGATGAATATTCACTTATATGATATTTGATGCCCAAAACTGTCTCCATGCTCCCCCCATTTTTGGGGGGGGAGGGGGAACAATTTTATGGATTGGGTACCTGCATGCATCTTTTCTTCCCAAAATTCATGTCCTCGAACAGCCTTCCTCTTTCAGGGAATTAGATTCCACTCCCAACCCATGAAAATGGTGGCTAGTGAAAAACATGATTAATCCTAAACTAAGCACTAGACATTTTTAACTTCTGCAAACCTTAAGATTTCCTCTTCTGCTTGTATGTGATTTTGATGTAATTGACCTGAGTTTAATTCGTTTTGCTGTTAGGTTATCATATAACTGATGTTTCATTGTTATCTAACAGTATTATTTTATACTGAGGTTAAAATGTGTCTGAGTCCCATTTTAAAATGTTAGCTCTCTGAGCTATGATGATTGGAAATTCTGAGAATTGTAGTTACATCGAGAGGATACCTGATTGGAGGGCGTGGTTTTTAGAGTTTATATTGAGGCTTAGAAAGAGATGGATAAATGTCTCATTCCAGATTTTTCTGTTAGACTTGGCTATATTGGGGCCAGTTTTCAGATCTTTTTCTCCTTAGGAAATTCTGTAAGAGTTTTGATATTTTATAGATAATTGAGGAGCATTTGCAACCATGCATGAAGGCGGATTAGCTAATTGAAATTTCTACAGGACAGAAGTAGTGCTGTCGGTGTGCAGATCTGTTTTGTATTTCTATTACAGACACAGCAGTTCAGCTGAGACTTGTGCTGGAGACCCATTGTCAGGAATTAGGCAGGCCTGTCCCTCCCCACTATACAAGTGTTAGGCTTGGAGCCTTTTCTGGTTCCTGTTTTTATTTATAACAATTGATGACTTAGCTGTAGCCACTTTTCTTAAATAAGGATTCGGCCTTAGCCATTCGTGCTTGGTAAACCTTGTATTAACTCCCCTTGGAGCTACACTGAAGATTGTATGAATGCTTGAACTAGTGCAAAGCACTATAAGTAATTGCTTAACTGACCCAGGCCCTTGGAACTTACTATTTATGCCCTGGAATTGTTAACCTTTCTAGCACAGAATCCTTTTTAAAGCCTTAAACAATCTGGAAAATGGGAAAGTTACTCTAAAAGCTGTGGATTGACTTTTAGCAACTTCTGCATTTGATGTACAAGAGGCAGATTATTGCTTCAGTGTACTTCAGATTGTGTTCCATCATTGTGGCTTTCTTGTGGATTCTTCCTGGTTAATTTTGCTTTCTTTTCATCTAAATTGCATATATTTAAATTATAATTTTCCATAAGATAGCTTGCATCCTTTTAGGTAAAAGATTACATACAAATAATGAAGTGTGTGTATACTTTCAAACCATTTAAGTTGAACTCTTGGAATTAGAATAAAAGCTTTAAGATCATGTCAAATGTTTAACCTTATTTAATAAAGATTTACAAGTAAAATATGCATAGATTATGCTTATATATTTTGTGAAGTTACTTGAATATTTGTGTGTGTGTGTGTTAAGAGTGACAGCGAATGGAAACCCCAGATAGCATATGGCCAGTCCTATAGTACTATAACCACTTTCCCCCTCTTTTGACTTTCTAGGTTGGAAGACTGTGATGAAACTGCTGCTGTCACTGCTTCTTTTACTACAAGAGCCCAGGACACATGGAAGATTCCAGGGCAGCCCAGACGGGACTATGGATTTTGGTGTCCACGTCATTTGCAGACATCCAGTGGGCAAGGCTACAAATTTTTGGGCATTGAGCAGTGTGCACCCCCTTGCCCCAACATGTACTTCAATAATCACGAGCTAGATGTTGCCAAAAGCTTTATTGGCATTGTTTCAATTTTTTGCCTTTGTGCCACTCTGTTTACGTTCCTAACATTTTTGATAGATGTTAAAAGGTTCAGGTATCCAGAGAGGCCAATCATATACTACTCTGTTTGTTACAGTATAGTGTCTCTTGTTTACTTCCTTGGGTTTGTCCTAGGAAATAGAACAGCCTGTAATAAGGGTGACGAAAAACTACAGCTTGGTGAAACGGTTGTTCTTGGTTCTCAGAACAAAGGTTGCACCCTTGTCTTCATGGCTTTGTATTTTTTCACAATGGCCGGAACTGTCTGGTGGGTGATCCTCACAGTCACTTGGTTCCTTGCTGCTGGACGAAAATGGAGCTGTGAAGCTATTGAACAAAAAGCCATGTGGTTCCATGCAATTGCCTGGGGCATGCCAGGGTTTCTCACAGTTATGCTCCTTGCCATGAACAAAGTGGAAGGTGACAACATTAGTGGCGTCTGTTTTGTCGGCCTCTACGACTTAGATGCTTCTCGATATTTTGTTCTCTTGCCTTTGTGCATTTGTGTCTTTGTCGGTTTATCTCTCCTTTTAGCGGGTATAATTTCTCTAAATCATGTGCGCCAAGTCATACAGAATGATGGCAGGAATCAAGAAAAGTTGAAGAAATTCATGATTCGAATTGGTGTCTTCAGTGGCTTATACCTCGTACCTCTAGTGATACTCTTGGGATGTTACATCTATGAACAAGTTAATAGGAAGATCTGGGAAACCACTTGGGTTTATGACCATTGTGATCAATTCCATATACCCTGTCCTTATCAGGTAAGATTGAAATATTAGCACAATTAATGCCTGAATAACAAAGAATAGTGTATGCAGTATTGGGGTTTGGGTTGTATGTTTTGATGCATCAGTTAGTCCATGGGCAAGGAGAGCACTGATTTGAAAGAATCTTTGATGCTACCAGTGCTTTTAGGAGATCTGCACAGTTTCTGTAACTATTGAATACTGTAGTACTGGGTTGTATAATTTCTTGCGTGAGTACCAAATGCATGGCATATGTATCATGAAGTGTATAGAAATCTTTAGAAAATGTTAAGGGCTTCATAACTGTAACTCCTTAAATTGAAGACAGTAGAAGGAGGACTGCGTTACTCTGTTGAAATACAACATTCATTATTGAAACATAATCTTGTAGGTTTCAGATCTGGCATCTTCCTGTCAGAAGATAATGACTCCAAGAACATTAATTTTTTAGAAGTGTTACGTAAATAGTTAGCAGTATCCTCAGTGTTGGATGTGTACATACATATACATTCTTAAACATTCAAAACTGAGTGATATTTAATATGGGGAAAAACACATTTGCATAACCAACGCAAATCTGGATTAAATGGACATTTGGGTTTAACATGTACCCCTCTCCTACATGATCTATAAAGCCAAATGTTTACCCTCTATATTTAGATAAAAATTATAAGCCAGGCAAGTAACTGCAGGTTAAATATCTTTGATATATTTGAGTGTGTCATTTCAGTATTTATAAAACTTTGAAGTTCTAAAGAAGTTTCTTTAATATTTTTCTACAAGATATCCCAGATTTGTGCTTCTGTGAAGTTAGTAAGAGTGCTAGGGTAGTTACCTTCCAATCCCTAATACACAGAAAGAAAAAAGAAATTTTAAAAAATCCCTCTTGCATTTGCACCATTACAGTTTCCAGAGATTCCAGCTTTAAGCTTGCAAAGTAGGTTATTCTTCGTTTGAGTTTTTAGCCTTTCTACTATAAATCAGAAACGCCTATTTTGCATTTTGTCCTCTGAAATGTAATGCAGGAAAACCATTTTTCCATTGTATTTTCAGTAAATGGTTATTGTTTTCCAGGTCAAAACATTAGCTAGACCGGAAATAACTTTGTTTCTGATGAAATACCTGATGACTTTAATCGTTGGCATCTCTCCAGTCTTCTGGATAGGAAGTAAAAAGACCTGTTCAGAATGGGCAAGTTTCTTCAACAGAAATCGCAAAAGAGAGTAAGACATGTTTTTGTATTTTGTAGTTTTAGTTATAAATAAAATGCCTAAACACTAGATGATATGAATACTTAAAAATAAGTATGCACCTTAGGCTGATTTTTGATTTTGTTCTTGGAGTGCAGGAAAATAGATGCTACGTATAAAGCACTTAGGAATATGAGTGCTGTGGCCGAGAGGCAACACAGTTTTGTTTTGCTAAAAACTGCCTGTGTAAATAACAGATGTCATATGAGCACTTTTAGAGGATGAGTGACCTGGTGTCCAAGTTCAGAATTGTATTAAGGGCTCAAGCTTTGACACTTTACCCAGATACTGTGTTCACATGACACACTGCACCACAAATAAGCCAATGATATTTTTAGCTTAATGTGTTGTGAAACCCCAGTCCCATAGGCTAACTTGTGGTACAGTGTGTTTTCAGTAAACCATGGTTCAGTTAACGATAGGCAAGCATGCTGTGAAAATACAAGAATTTGGAGGCAGCTTCTAGTGCTGTATGCAAGGCAATAAGCCGTGAGTTGAATGGAGCCAAACAGAGAAGGAAACGATTAATGGAATGGTTTTCTAGAACAGACCAGACAATAGGCTGAGAAACCAAGGGATGCAGATGGGGGCCTAGGGAAACAATTGAAGGAGATGGTATAAAATGGCAGGAAAAAAAATAGGCCAAAGTGAGTATGTGTGTGTGTATAATAGTGTGTGTATATATCACACTATTAGAGGAAGGTAGATCATGAAGCAGGAAGTTTGATAAGCTGGATGGGGTGGCTTTATGGAGTTAACAGAGCAAAAAGAAAAGACAAAGGATGCGTAGTTGGTAGACCAACATTTCTTAGCATGGTGCTGTCCACATATAGTGGGACTGCAATTCCCAGAATACTCAGGCAGCACATGCAGTTTACAAGCTCCATTGATTTTAATGGGATAAGAGTCTGTAGCTCCACAGTTTTTCCCACCTGATTACCTTCAGTTGTACTGAGCTCCATGTTGATCAGGAATTACGGAATTTGAAAAGTTCTGCTATAAGAAAAGGAATTACTAGACTAGTTTGGAGAAATTCTGATCTTTCAAATATTTTTCAATATCTTCCCTTAGCCTCAGTCAGTGTGGCTAATGGGCAGGGGTGATGGGAGCTATGTCCAACAACATTCTAGGGGGCAACATATACTCCACCATTCAGCTAGATAATAGAATCATAAGGTTAAAAAGTCCATTTATGCCATCACATCCAATCCCCTGCTTTGTGTAGCAATCTCAATTAAAGCATCCAGGACAGATGGCTGTCTAGTTACACTTGAACACATCCAGTGAAGGGGAACCCATCATCATTGTTGGCCATTCCTTCTGCTTTTAACTGTTCTTACTGCTAAGAAATTGTTCCCAATAACCAATTCTGCTTCCCAAGTCTGTTTCCCAGCTTCTGAGTTGATAGAGAACAGGTCATGACATCCCTTCAGGTACTTGAAAAATGCTATTGTATCCCTTCTCAGTCTTTCTTTTCTCAAGCATTCTCATTTCTTTCTTTCAATCTCTCAGTTCTTTCCATCTCTTTAATTTTATAGGACTTAAGATTTAGTCTAGTAATCATCCTTTCCATGTGCTCTACTCCTTCCTTGAGCAGCTGGTGTACTTTTTTTTCCTCTTCATTTTATTTTGATTTGAAACATACCTCTAGAGAAAGAGAGCACAGCTGGCTGCCCTGCCTTCTGGGGCAATAGCAAATACTTCCTATTCCATGTGATAGCCCTTCAAATATCTGAAGACTGCTATCATGTCTCTCTCCTAGGTCTTCTATTCTACAGACTAGACATACTCAGATCCTTTAACCATTCTCATTTAGTTTCCAGACCTTTAACCATCTTTGTGGTCTTTTTCTAACTTGCTCAAATTGGTCAATATCCTTTTGAACAGTGATCTCCAGAACTGGCACAGTAATCCAAAGGGGTCTGACCAGGGCAGAATAGAAAAAAAATTACTTCCTGTGCTCTGGAACCTATGCTCCAGTTAATGAATTTGGGAGATAGCACTTTTTAACAGCTTTGCCACACTGCTGATTCACATTTAACCTTTGGCTGAGAGATCCTTTTCACACAGACAAGCTTGATCTCCCCCATGTTATACTTATATCTTACACTTCTTCTTCCAGGAAGCAGGACTTTATATTTCTCCCTCTTAAATTTAAACTTGTTCATTTCCATCCACTTCTTAAATTGTCTAGGTCTTTTTTAATCTTTTTTTTCATTTAAAGTATTAGCTACCTTCCCCAGCTTTGTGTCAGCTGCAAATATTATAAGCTTCCCTTGTAGTTTGTCTCCATTTCTATAGATTTACTATGAAAACTGAAAAATGTTGAAAGTACAATCTGGCATAAAATGAAATCTACAACTATTTTGACATTGACTTGAATATGTTAAAGGTTTAGAAGTCTGTATTCAGTTGGCACATCTAAATAATTACAGAAGAAGGTGGTAATTAGCATTTTTCTGTCTTTTCCCTAATCAGTCCAATCAGTGAAAGCCGGAGAGTGTTGCAAGAATCATGTGAATTTTTCTTAAAACACAACAGCAAAGCAAAGCACAAGAAGAAACACTACAAGTCCAGCTCTCACAAACTGAAGGTGATTTCAAAGTCAATGGGGACTAGCACAGGTGCCACAAGCAATCATGGGATTTCCGCAGTGGCCATTGCTAACCATGATTACTTAAGCCATGAAACTTTAACTGAGAACAAAAGTTGTCTGGAAACATCCGAGAGAGAGATGGAAGCAGACGTCGTACATAGCCAGAGAGTGGAGGAGGAAGAGTTTGCTCGTAGTGAGCAGAGTGCATTACAAGTGCGATCCAGCCCTAAAGTGCCTTTGGAACAGCAAGAACAAGAGAGCAAGGCAGACAACAAGCAAGACGTTGCTAGTTTATCTGAAAGCATGAAGAGAGTAGCTGAAGAAAGGTAAGACGCTAATGGTTTTTGCTCTAGTTCATATCAACTACTGCATGTTCTTGTTACAACTTGCAAAAGAGACATTTAAAAGTAGCAAAAACACAAATAAATGTATTCCATGAAAGTACATCTATGCTAGGCCTGGATTATGAAAACAAAGAATAGGTATCTGTACACTTGGGCACAAAAAACAAAATGCTGGGTGCAGTAGCTCAGATAGTAAATACTGTTTATCATGCCCTGAACACCCAAATAATAGTTTAGATCACTTGCTGATAGAGGCAATGGCAGGGAAATTTGGTCAGATGCAATAAAATGTATTGTTTTATGAAATGTTTATTTGGGATCATTTTCCAAAAGTGTTATTGGAGAGAAAAGGATGTAGGAAACGCCATGCATTAGGAGACAGGCACACAGAAATAACCGTCAATTTTAGTATGGGATTTTTATGACATATGTGCAGAGTATTATGGAAATAGACCAAAACTAATGCAAGACGAGTTGAATGAATAACAATGGAAAGCTGAAACAGACAGATGTACCTGTTCTTCAGCATCCAAGCTTGGAGCTTAGAGGTGCAGGGTAATATTTGAGATAGGAATAACCACTATGGAAGACATGAAAAATGAGATATCTCGATTCAATGGAAAAACAGAGGCCTAGTTAGAAACATTACTAGAGAAGAGACTTTAATATGAGTGTGAGAATGTTTTAGCTGTCTACAATGGTGTTTCTCAACCTTGGCAACTTGAAGATGTGTGGACTTCAATTCCCAGAATTCCCCAGCCAGCAAGGCTGGGCAGGGGAATTTCGGTGTTGTAGTCCACACATCTTCCAATTTTCAAGGGTGAGAAAAACCACTGTAGACAGCTAAAACATTCTCACACTCATATTAAAGTCTCTTCTCTAGTAATGTTTCTAACTAGGCCTCTGTTTTTCCATTGAATCGAGATATCTCATTTTTCATGTCTTCCATAGTGGTTATTCCTATCTCAAATATTACCCTGCACCTCTAAGCTCCA